GATGTGACCAGCAAGACCTGTTCCAGGTGATGCTGATGACTCAGCTGTAAGGTTTCTACCTCTGCAAACCATGTCTCTCTCGGCATCAGACCCCACATTCTACCTCTGGCTCTCTGTGGGGCTTTCAATAAGCAGATACTCTTCCTCCACCCTTCCTTCCCATTTGTAAACTGGGTACATGTGCCAGAATCCCCGCCGGTGCAGTGGTTGTGAGGGTTACATGGCATAATGAATAAAGGCCCACCTACCATTTCTTCTCTCCAAACCATGGACGTTCCTGGGAAGAGGTGGTAGACTTTCTCCATGCTTCGGCTTCACCTAAAACATAAACCAGTCCCCTAATCTTGTCATTCTTTTTAGCCTCAAACCTTCCCTTTACCATGAGAGGCAGCTAGACTGAGCTGATTTTGATGCCAGGGGCTTAAATCCCTTTTGCTTTTTATTCTTGTAATATCCTCCTCTGCCACTTCTGCCACATTCCAGCTTGTCCATAGAAGGAAGCAAAGGTTTCTCATCCATTAGGCAGAGAAGCTGGCCCCTCCCTCTTGCCCCTGCCCACAGCCACTCACACTTCCTGGCACGTTGGGAGTTTTCTCTCAGTAACATACTTATCTGAGTTCAGGGCGACCAAAGTGAAACACAGGATAGAGAAGGAAGGAGGTTTGACAGGAAGTCCAAATTAGGACTTCCTCCCATTTACCTTGAACTTCTAAGGTACCTCAGCTGAACAGCAAAGCAAAAGAATCAAAGCAAGGAGATTTTTAAAAATAAAATAAAATTGTCAGCCACGAGGAAGTGGAAAATGTTGCTGGTCCTTGCCTTGCCTTGTCTAGGGCAGCTCACTCATATTTTCCTCCTGTGTTATCCATGGACGAGGGAGGTGAGACTAGTGTCCAGGACAGGTGGGAGGGACCTCTCAGGGCTGTGGAGACAGGATGAGTGTTATCAAAGGGCTGGGATGGGACGGTGCAAGGCCATTTTCACCATCTCCTATTCTGCAGCCCTAGGAGTGCTAGGAAGCACTGGGCCTACGGAGGTGGCGGTTACTGGGGTCCTGTCCCCTGTTCCCTGCACTGTTTAGAAGGTATTCTTTGTTCTGCACCATCATATGAGATGTCAGGTTCTGTGAAGGACCCACCATGGTTCTCCTCCACTGAATTCTCCTATCGGCTTTTGTCATCCAGAATGGGTGCCATTTCTACTGCCTGCCCCTGAGCATGGTGGGATAACTTCCCTTAGCCTCTGCCCTAAGAAGGACAACATGTTCTCATGTACAAAACCTTTACTTTTCTTTCTTCCCTGGTCCTGATGTGACAGTTCCCCAGGAGCAGCAGCAGCAGCACCCCACTCTATTTTCTCACTTCTAGAATGAGTCATTGAGATAGGTGGTTATCACCTCTGCCCTGTGATTCTGCTGTGAGGTAGAGGTAAAGGGGTGGGTGGGTGGGTGGGTGGATGCTGTGACTCTAGGCTTGGTGGACTAAGGGAGGGAGCAGAAGGGTTCCACCTTCCCTGTCTGCCCCTATGTTCCAACAGTCAGACATACTGCAAGCATTGCTTTCTTTCCCACAGCTTCTCAATTCCCATTGTATGAATCCCTGCCAGTCACTGGCTCAGTGCTTTCTCTGTGTTGCTTTTACCTTGAGACATATGGTTGGTCTTCTGTGTCTGCAGACTCTATGTACATGTGTTCAACCAACAACAGATGGGAAATATTTTTAAAAATTGGATCCACGCTGAGTGTGGGTAGAGTTTCTTCTCTTTGCCATTATTCCCTAAACAACAGAGTATCACAGCTACACACAGCATTGGTATTCTTAGGAATTATCAGTCTTCTAGAAATGTGAGAGGGTGTATACATATTAGGTTTAAGAACTACACCATTTTATATAAGGAACTTGTGCTCTGACAGATCTCAGTACCTATGAAAGATTCCGGAAGCAATCTCTTACTTTGGCTAATCTTTGAGCTTGTTTCTTCATAAACAACTGGGTTTCTCTACCTGGTTCTGGTCAAAAGAGATGGGGTGGGACCAGTTGCCCCATCAAAGAGGTTTCTTTGGTTCTGATGCTGGACCTTTGCTCCTTAGTTCCTGTCTGCTACTCTGTTTCATGCTTAAAGGCAATAAACAGAATGATACCTTGATATGCACCGAGTCCTAGCTATCCTACCACTGGTGAAAAGGCCTGTCTGCTTTACATGTAAAGAGAACTAGTCTGGAACAAGTGAGATGACATACTGTCACACACATTGTCATGTTTCCTGAGAGGGGTTCTTCAGAGCTGCTCTGCCATGGGAGTTTCTGGAACACTTGAGCTAGACACAGGAGATGTGAAACCTAAACTTATTAGGAAGTCACCCAAGGATAGGAAGAGGACATTCTTCAGGCCTGAGGCAACATACTTCTCCTTTCATCATCTGCTCTCTCTCCTCTCTCTCTCTCTCTCTCTCTCTCTCTCTCTCTCTCTCTCTCTCTCTCTCTCTCTGTCTCTGCCCTGATGCCTTATCTGAGGTATGGGTCTGTGGGTCAATGGGCAGAGCACACAATGTGAGAGACACTTCAGAGCAGCAAGCAGTTCATTGACCCTTCATGGGCTGCAGGCCAGAAACGAACATGGGAGCTGCTGTGCAAGCTCTGCAGACAGACCTAGTTTGAATTCTGACTCTATTCTGGGCATTGCCAAAGCATCTCAGAACCCTGAGGAGATAAATGGATAGTGGCTCTGGACTCAGGTATACTCTTGAAAAGATTGGGGTGCACAACCTACTTGAGGGACGAAGGGAGCAGGCAAATAAATGGCTGTTTAAAGACTGTGCCAGCCATCAGGGACGGTTGGTATAAAGTTCTCAAGGTACTATCTGACACACTGCAGGGGCTTCCTGGGGTCTTGCACCTTTACTACCTTCACTGTCATTACCTTTGTTTCTGGTTTCTGTGGCTACCTTGATACTGGTCCCCTTGGCCACTTTTTATTGGATAATTTTTTCCAAAGGGGTATAATATTTAACAATATTTAGTTCTATCTTCCATTTTTTTCTGTTGTTGTTTTTTAACCTTGAGTTGGGTGAACAATATTAAAAGACACAATGCTGAACCCCCCCAAAAAAGACAACCCACTATTGCTTTTAGTTTTAAGGATGATCTAGAATGTTTCTTTCCACAGAAATTCTCTATTTTGAGAGACCTTGACTGGTTGACTGATTGAGGGCCAGAATCTTCATCCATCCACTCTTCCCTCCCATCCCATGATGTCTTATTTACTCTACTTGAAAGTGATTTGCCTCCATCATGGCTGACATGCTGCTGATCTGAAGAATGAAGTAATGTCTCTCACTAGTCAAGGAGCTTTAGAGCAGCAGGGCAGTCCATTGAGCATCATCAGTTGTTGGACACTTAATGTTGATGCCTCCTGCAGATCACCATCATGGACCACTTTCCAGGGATGGGGTCTGACACTTCATCTGTGTCTCATTTAAGTTCATAAATAGGCAATGAGATAGCTACTAGAGGCATACATTACTAAAACTACCCTTGAGAAACCTTAGGAAGAGCATCGCAGGTACCAATAGAGTATTGTTCAAACACTGGAATAGAGAGCTGTGCACATGTGTGAGTCTATACATTCCCATATGTGCAAACATGTATGTGCATGTCCATATGGGACACTGGCTCACCTGTGTTTACATTTGCTTTTAGCCTCAGGTCTCACTCACTATCAAGGATTGTTTCAGTCTATGAGATCTGTTCAAAGTCTGAAACTGAAGAAAGATGCAACAGATTCCCATCTCCTATCTCCAGGGAATATACTCTTTGGCTACATATATGGTGGACTCAATGGGAAAAAAATGATAGTAGACAGAATATAAAGTAAGAAAGCACAGTGTATGGAAGCTATTGTGCTACCAATAACAACAATGTTTTAAACTTTTGATTTTTACATTTGCCTAGCAAATACATTAAAGTTGTATGTATATAAGCTTTCTCCTTTCCTGCCTTGCAGATATGGAAACTAGTTACCAAACTGTTATGAAGGGACTTTAGCTGGGCCTGAACATGGCAAACATGGCTTTGGCAGGCCTTACCCTTCCCCCACCCCTCCATTGCCTCTGCCTTGCCGAAAACTGTTAGATTACATTCCTAAAGCCAGGGTCACTTCCTCCTCCTGAGCCTGGCTACCATTATCCAGCTATCAAAGTATTGAAGCCCAGGAATCAAAAGCCCCCAATGGCTCACCTAATTACTATACCCAATAAAATTAAACTCAGGCTTTCCCCTTTTACCTTTATAAACTGCCATTTTCCTATGGGCCATGTCTGTTTCTTCTCTATCTAGAGGCAGCTCTTTGTTCCCCTCTGGGACAAATATCCCTCCCCTCTCTACCTTCTCCCTCATCCTTTATTTCCCATCTTTGTCTTTTTCCCTGTCTTTTGTCCCTCTGGGATACGTAAATATCTTTTTTCCCAAGAACTTGGTCCTGGGATGTCCTGAGCTAATAGTGGTCCCTTCAGTCACTCCATGCCCAAGGCATATGCAGACATATTCGTATCAGAATGTAGATGGTCCTCTGCACCGTAGAAACTTTCACCACACAGAGCCTGGCTGCCTCACTCACCAAGGACCCACTCACTGATCTTAACACTGAGAAGCAGCTGAAGGCACCTTGGCTTTCAATAAAAACAGACTAGTGGGGAAGGAGGTTGGAGAACATGAAGAGACCATCTTCCTTCCTCCACAGTTCACTAGAGGATGATATTATAGATAATTTTAGGGAACTGTCAAAAGAGCCTGTTATCTGCATAGACCCAGTCATGCAGAAGTGTGGTATCTAGCTTTGCGTGCCTAGAATTCTAGTAGAAAAAGCTGCTGGAACAGAGTTTAAGCCCCACTTGGCTAGAGTGCCTGGACCAGTGGGAAATTACCACCAGTCTCTTACCAGTCTCTCTCTCTCTCTCTCTCTCTCTCTCTCTCTCTCTCTCTCTGTCTCTCTCTCTCTGCATTGAGTCCCCAGAGCTGGCCTTCCTTGTTTACTTATTTAGAAGTCAGCAGAGGAAGTGGTAAAGGAAACTAGCTGAGCCGTTTTCTGAGAAGAGACCATATTTGTTCACAGGGGAAGCCACTGCTTCTTGGGATCTGGTTAGAACAGAAACAGTGCCTGTTCAACAAGGGTGTTCCTGAGCGTAGTTGGAATTTGGAAGAGCCGGGGACACCTCAGTGCTCTAGGTCTGGGTTTTTCTCTGTTCATGGCTGCAGCGGCTCTCCCCAGCCTGTGAGCTCCCCGAATAGCAGCCATGGCCTTGAAGAATGTGCCCTTTCGCTCAGAGGTCTTAGCCTGGAACCCGGACAGCCTAGCTGATTATTTTAGGAAGGTGAGTCTTTCACTCCTGTGCTTCTGGTTGGGTTGGTATGACTTCGGTAGGGTGGGCAGAGTGGAGGCAGAATCTGGATGGAATATGAAAGGTGTACAAGATAGCTGCAGAGTTACCACCTGCAGTTGCTACCTTCCTGGGAGGCAGGCAGACTACTGAGCTTTGTGGGCAATGTGTCCTGTAGAGAAAAATGGGGGGAGGGCTCCCATGCACAAGTCCCTAGTACATACAGGTGTGGGTCCAGTGCTCCACAGACTGGGTCTTGTTAGACACAACCCATTGCAATGTGAGTTCCGTGTTACCATATTAAGGATATGTACTGACACCATTGCATCTCAACGTCAGTAACTGAAGTCAGCTCTTGAGTTTAAGTGATCAGGTTGGATTGGAGTCATGCCTATTTAGCTTAACAGCACATGCTCTGAAATGCAGAGAATGGTTATGGTGAAGTCTACTTACCTAGAAAAGGAGATATAGAGTTCTGGGATAGAAGGGATGGACAAGCAGGGCAGGAGGGATGGACAGATGGCTAGCTGAACAGTGGCATTTGAGCATCCATTGTCCATGATCTTGGAAGAGGGGAATGTTTCTTTAGTGGCCGGAGTTTCACCAGAGCTTTATAAGAATCCTTAAAAGTAGGCCAGAAAGCAGACATGAGCCCCAGGATAGTTAGGGACACAATGGATAAGCTAAGTAGAATTACAAGTCAAGCAGGACTAGTGTCCTACTTCCAGGCTAGGAGGAAATAGTCAAGGGTCCTTGTTCAGTTATCTGCTAATAAGGACCACATGTCTGCTTAGGGGTATCTGAAGAAACCTAACTCCTCTAAGGCACCCATACAGAAGAGCTAAGAGGTCTAATGAGAGACACGAGTTTCTATTGTCTCCATTTCTTCCGGCTGGCCTCATATCCACTGATATTCCAGGCAGTGATGAAGATGACGTCCTAAAGCTAAGGCCATAGAATTCATCTATTTTACCTTCTGTTTTTTTCTGAAGAAACGGAGATCTACGAAGTAGAATAGGCTCATTGGGTTGTAAAATTAAAACTGTAATATACACAGTGGTTCCTTCCCAACCTACAGAAGAAAATGTGAGCATTCTGTACTGGGTGAGGCATGGTAGGAGCACTACCCCACAGATCCTGATATTTGCCACTTTTCATGAATCTTATTTTGGTTACTTTCTCCCTAAAAGATCATCGTAAACATCTCTTTCAATACTGTGGGTGGAAATGTGATTAGACAGCTGACTTTGAAGCATGTTATTAAGTTACCTTTCTTAACTAAAAATGAAGTAAGTTAGGGCAGAAAGGTAAATTTGCCATGGTGGAGTGAAGTAGTGAATTATTTCAATGGAGCAGTGAGAATGGAATCGAGAATTAAGGCAGGGAAGTCTGGGGAGGGACCAAGAGGCACAGAAAGGGCCCATATTCAAGTGCAACTAGGATATTATGTAATCTCATGGTGCCACAGATAAAGTGTGGGTCAAGTTCCCTTCAGCACAGGGTAGGCCTTAGATAGGCCAAGCAGACACCATTCTGCTTGAGCTAAGAGAAGGGGAGGTTTCTTCTTGGGGATCATGGACCTTAGTAAAAGCTACATTCCAGGGACAGGTCTCTCCTTCTGGTGGGAACAAGGAAGCTGGCGGGGGAATTGATAATGCTAGAAGGACCAGCCCCCTACCACAGACACAGATGAAACTCTTCAGACCCTAAATTCATTGGTCCCTGAGAAGACACTCTGTGAAATGAACACAGAGCCACTTACAGATGCTCTTGGACATCAGTGTGTCACTTAAAGGACTGACCAGCAAGTATAATGTCTACAGAAGCAGTCGGGTTGGGCCACTGAGACTTCTTTCCAGTTCTGGAGTCAAATACACTTTGGTCCTTCCCAGCTAGCTTGGGAACTTAGTATTTTTAATTACTTTGCTTCCCTGTACCTCAGTCTACATATACAGTGAAACAGAGGTATTATCAGTAACTAACCAGGTGAGATGGAGGTGAGGTTGAAAGGAAATATGTGTGAGGCATTAAGTTTCATGTTCTACCCCACCTTTATCCTGATCTTCTAACCAGAACCTGGCTGGGGAGGCTGAGGCAAGCTGGTGAGGCTTTGTGTCATATTGCCTCAGATGTATGCCTTGCCCTGGATTGAGGATGGGAACCATGAGGATTAAGGCCATAGTCTGCACGTCCCTAACTCCTTCAATTGGCTTAGGCCTCACAGGAGAACATTCTCAGGCCATGCAATATAGTCACCTGGCTCATAGCTATGTGTTCTAATGCTGTTGGGTTTCTACCTCACTATGTGACCTTAAGTCAGACCCTTCTTCTCTCTGGGCCCCAGTCCCTGTCATCTACAAAGTTGAAGAACCACTTGGTCAGTGCCAAGATTGGTATCTTAGCTGCTAATGAGAATTACTTAGGGTGCTTGTTGAAATACAGATTTTTAGGTCTCAAGACTTAAATCTTACTGAATTGCATCAATTGTCTAGGTTCAAGGCTAGAACTCTAGTTTTGGTTTAGAGTCAAAACTGGTACTCTGCAGAACTGGCAATCCATCTGATAGTGATGGCAGTGAAATGAATTAAAGGAAGCTGACATTTCCAAAAGCCCACTGTACATGTGCATATGAGTCAAGGAGACAGCACCATGCTGCAGATGCTGCCTGCCCTTGACAGTGTGGGTCTTCAGTCTGCTCTTCCAGACAAGGAGATGGCAATTATATCTTAAAATTATTCTTCTTCTTCTTCTTCTTCTTCTTCTTCTTCTTCTTATTATTATTATTATTATTGAGATGGGTTTTTGGAGTATAGCCCAGGCTTCTCTTGGACTGGCAAACCTGTCCCCCTGCCTCATTCTCCTGGGTGCTAAGATAAGGGGTGTGTGCCTCTACACCCAGCCGTGTTTACTTTTCACATTTGGGGGGGGGGGTGTCATAGATAAGAAACTGATTTGAAAATTTCCTCCAAAGAAGGTTGGACTAACTGTTCGTGAGGTCCTCAGAGAAAAATATGTCACCTTAAATACATCAGACCTCTCAATCTTGGAGCTATTTCTGGTGTGAAGTTTTGTGCTAGTGAGGACAAGGCAAGACCACAGTCATAGATCAGCTTTGAAAAATAACCAACCAAGACCTTACAGACACATACCTCTGTTGATTCCATCACTCTGTTCTGAAAACTTGACTTCAACAATGTACCCTACAGAGAAAAAGGCGACAGAATGTCCACTGTGTAGTGTGTGCTATCGGAGTGGTGGGTTTGAATGCACCCCTGATTACTCACTGTAAGGACTTATGTACCTGACGCTGCTACTTAAAGACTATTCTTCATGGAAACATTAAAGCCAAGTTCCAAAGCTCAATGGTCACCTTTGTCACCTTCCACCCATGCAAGTTTCTTAGCTCTCTATGTTTCTCTTCTCATGAAACTGGAAGATTAAGTGATTTGCAGTCGCTTTGGGGTGGAAGCAGGGTCTGCTACATACAGAGCATCCCATCCAGTGCTAACTAGCAGCTGCTGATCTCATTGCTGAAATGGTGGTCAGGGAGATGACCTGTGAACATTCAGTGGTTAAAATTACAGGAATTATTTAGTAAATGGGGTCCTCGACAAAATATTTAAAACAAGTTTGTCATAGTACCAGACAGTGTTTGTGTTGTTGTTCTAGGTCATTTAAGTTAAAAAGAAAATGTCACTCTAACAAGTCTGAATGTGAGTTGATTCCTCCATCATGTTCAGAAATGGGCTAGGCATAAATGACTGATGTGGTCACTAAGATCACCTTTGGGGACACAGGACAGGGGCTGGTGTTTGATTTCTTCTGTTAGTCCCTTCATGCTTTCCTGATTACAATGTGACCACCCATCTGGGGCTTTGAAAACTGTCTGTCCAGAGGTTCTGGTACCAAGGACTAGAGTATACAATTTCTCCATTTCAGACTGTCTGGGGTGGGGGGGGGTGAGGTAGTGAAAGTATGGCTGAGGTGGGGACCTGGCCCCTCTTTTAGACAAAGGATCAGGAGGGGGTTGGCTAGCCACAGGTACCACATATTGCTCAGCTCTGGGGGGAGGCAGAAGAGGGGAAACACAGGAGCCTGTGGCACTGATGGCACCTTGTGCTTCTCTGTGCAGTTGAACTACAGGGACTGTGAGAAGGCGGTGAAGAAATACCACATTGACGGCGCTCGGTTTTTGGTAAGCTCTGTCCAGTCCCAACACTGAAATGAAAAATGTGCTGTGTTCTTCCCATCAGCTTCAGGGCCAACTGACCTACCTTGTCCCCTAGGCTGCTCATGGTCAATGTCGTGGTCAGTGTCCCATTAAGCCATTTGCTTTGATCAAAGGGTTGATAGGTCTTTCTCACTAACTCAATGTCTTGTTCAGGAGCCCTGTAAGCTCTTGTATAGACAGCAAGATAGACTTCAAAGTAATATATTGAAGGAATCTGAGCACAGTTTAAACCCCCGCATACACACACACACACACACACACACACACACACACACACACACACACATACACACACACCTTGAAATTCTACTCAATTGCCATGTATACTCTGAGAAGCCCGGAGTGGGTAGCAGGAGATACCACTGAAGAACCCGGGGGTTTTCATTCCTGGTTGCTAACTCTGCATACACATCCACTGAGTGGACTTAAAGGGCGGCTACCTTCTTCCTCTTCATCTCCTCCTTATTACAGAATACGTATAGTGACTGTCAAACAAACACGTGAGGGTGCCCTCTCTACTCTGTTATAATTCCACAAGCTTTAAATATAGGCTCGTGTTTCAGGTCCATGTTAAATCCAGACCACTAAAGGGAAAGAAACTCAGTTCAGATGAAGGCAGAGGCATTTGGCTGTCAGGAAGGTGGTCTCATCTTTTCCCAGAGATGATGCTTTGCTTGAGTGTTAAGTACAGACTGTCACTGTTCCAAGTTGTCCTTTCTGGATATTTTGCTTCACTCTTTAAGCAGGAAAGAATATGAATTTAAAGGTCTCATGGGAGATGTCCTCAGATTCAGAGTGAGAAGGGCAATCAAATTGTATGTCTTTATGTCATAGAATAAAAGCTTAACCATGAGACTTCAAGCTAGTTGAAAGGGAACAAGATGGCATATGTTGTGGCTTGCTACACAGCACACCAGTCCATTTCTGACACTGCATCCCCGCCCTGCTCTGCTTCAGCATCTTTAGTGATGGTGATCTCACTACCACCTGTAATTTTATTCTCCTTCTTGAGAACCTCAGAAGTCTCGCCCTGAGATGAGTTCCTTTTCTATCCTAGATCCCCATATGCTGGGGACAGAGAAATTATTAATATGTAAGATTCCTGCCTTCATGAAGCTGTTTTTAGCAGAAAGATACCTTCACGGATGTCTTCAACCACCTCATTTACAAATAAGGAAACATATGCAGAGATGTGGTAATTTTGTCTTAAGTCACAAATCTAATGACTAAACCAAAACATGCTTAGTCCTATATGGTGTAGGTTTTGTTGTTGTTTTGATCATAATGAGCTTTAAATGGATAGAATTCCCTGTGTTTTATTGTTGGGATTCCTGCAACCACACTAAATCTGTATGTTTCATTCTGATGCCTTAGCACTGAGAAAAGGGACACCACTTTGAGTACAGGTGGAGGGCAACATCTTTGGAGAGGGTCTGGTTGCCCTGTTGTCCTGACTAGTCTTGAGTAAGCATTTGTCCCCTGTCCCCAATTCCCCTTTGTTTCATCCTCTGATGAAGGAATGCACTGTGCAGGGTCACACTTGGGGATAATAGTGGCACTTCTCAGCTATGTGACTCTCGCCCAACACTCCATGTGAGTGTCAGGCCTGAAGTGACTTGATAGGACGGCTGTTTCCTTGGTTGAGAGATGGTATCTGAACAGCATCTCCTCTGTTCCAATCTCTGAGACCTATCAGCACTTCAGAGAAAGCAGCACATCCTACTTACCCTGTGAACAGGAGGGAGAGCAAAGGGGGCAAGAGGAGCCAGAGTAGGGAGTGGAACCCTGTGCCTGTCCAAGCAAAATGCACTGTGCTCTGGGCTCACTTTGAAGGTCTTAATCTAAGCTCTAGTTACTCAGCTCATACCCTGTCAGCTCTGAACTATCCAGGACTATTCTGCTAATGGAGGCAACAGTGCGTGCTATCCCCTTCCCTTCTTCCCCTTCTCCTTTTCCTCACTCCTTCCATGTCTTCCTTCTTCAGTGTGGGAGCCGGTAGCCACCTCCCCCTCATCTGTCTTAATGTCGCTTAGGTTTAACACGGAGAAGAACGGAGTCTTTTCTGGTTAGAAAATGGGATGCTGTGCTTCGTGAAGGAGGGAAGTACTTGATGGATTAACTGGGAATGTATGTGGTCTTTCTCAAGCACTAAGACATGTACAAGTGGACACTCAGGGCTGAGTGACTTCTGGAGGAAGCCCAGAACTTAGGCCCCATTCAGCATATGGGAAGCCTTGGAGTTTTGTGCTAATCACTTCAAGCTGGATGCTCCACCTTTAGGATATATATATCCTTTGCAAAAGAGCCCAAAAAAAGTGAAAAATAATCATTATTCTAGAGATCTCATCCAGTAAACTGCAAATTACATCTTACTGGCCACAAATGAACCATGTGACTCCACCATCTCCATGGTAACTTGGGAGTTAAATATTTTGCACAAACACATTTCCTACCCTGAACCAAATTCAGGTTCTTATGGTAAGGAAGACCAAAGAATGGACATTGAGAGACAAGCAGGCCTGGCTTGTAGCTATCCTATCTATGGATCTCTTTTCCGAACTCAGCATATAACCATGTTTTTAAAATCCATACATCTAACTCCAATAAAGTTTAGCCCAGGATTTCTGGTGGGTTTTGAAAGAAGGGGAGGAGGAAGTTATGTCACACAGCAAAACTCCCAAAGCCTGTTTCAATGTTTCTCATCTTCCTTCCCAGCAGTTGTCCGTGTTTTAGAAGTCTTCTTTCTTTCCCAGCATCCTTCTCTTCTGTCTCCAGTCACAGCCGTGCGCCTATCCTTCATCTCTTCCTCAGCTTTCTCAGCTTGTGTCCTCCTCTCAGTTGTTTCCAGAGTATCGCTCTGGAAGACCCAAGATGCCTTCAACCCATTATGCCACACTCTGAAGGAAGCCGTGGTCTTCCGCCTTCTAGGTATATGGCTGTTTCTTCATCCTTTCACTGTAGGCAGCCTGACAGGATCCTGCTCAGAAAACTCTCCACGGGCTGATAAAGGCTGGACCTGCTGTTCCACCAAACACCTTGCCAAGACACCTCAGTCCTAGCTAGCTCCTCTGAGGGCCCTAACTTCTCCCTTCCTATGCAAAACTGAGTAGGGGCCTGAACCATGGGGTGAAAACACAGGGGGAGGTTGCCAAATTTTGCCCATGCTACAAATTCTGTTTGGTTTCACAGATTTTCCCCATATTTGTTTACTACAGTCATTTCTGTTTATGATTAAAGAAATTTAACATAAGATTCTAGTTACAGGATTCCCTTTGAAACGTAAACCTCATGATGTTGATGGTGACAATGGTTCTCTGTCCTTCCCTCCCTAGCCACCTGATCAGGGGCCTCCTGTGTGTTTTTAACCAGCCTGCCAAGTGTCTTTTCTTTTCAGAACCTGACAGAAAATGACATCCAGAAGTTCCCTAAGCTGAGGATGCCGTGAGTATGCCCCCTGATGCACAGCAGATTGGGAGCAGGATGGGCAGCAGGTTGAACAAAAGACCTGTTCAGGGGACACTGGGCCAGGAGTACAGTAATGTAATTTTAAATGGTAAAAAGAGGTAGGTAGGTTGAGGACCATGACAGGCTCTAGGGAAGAGGAATCACATGCTGAGTTCAAAGGAAGTAACAGATCCAAGCATGCTAGAAGTTGGATGCTTTGTTCAACACTGGGTTGTGTGTTTTACTTCCCATCTTTTTGATAGAATAAATTGGGCCTGTGAACACAGTACCAAAGTCAAGAGACCCTATGGATTCATCATAACATCTTTTAAAAGATTGATTTCATGTTAAAATTATGTGTTTGTTTGTGTGTTTTCATGTGAGTAAATGCATGAGAGTAAAGGTGCATATATAGGCCAGAAGAATGTGTCAGATAACCTGGAGCTGGAGTTACAACCTTGAGGTACTTGATGTGGATTCTTGGAGCAGAATTTGGGACCCCTTTAAGAGCAGTACGTGGCCTTAACTGCTGAGTCATCTGTCTAGCTCATCGTGGCATCTTCATTGACTCACCGGTTTAAGATTTCCAGACCTCTGTTTTGTGGTTAGTAAAATGAATGTGGAGGTCATTTTTATCTGTCAACACTGATTTCTTGGGATGATTGCTACTGGTATTAAGAAGAATGCAGAGGAAAAGGAGCTATGATCGATTAGTAATGTCTACCCTGAGTGCTGAAATGGGAAGCAGCTGTATGCGTATTGTGACCCGTATTTTGTCATTGTCCTAGTAGAGGCCTCACATGCTCAAATACAGAGGTCAGGCAGTTGATATGAATGTACAAAGTAGGACAGGTTCTAAACAGGAATCCCCACTGGGTTTATCTCTCTTTTTGTTATCCTTAAATGCAAGTGTCTCCAGAGAAGTATTTCGACAATAAAATAAAAATAGGAAATTATGATTTTCAAGATAACCAGTACAAAGGTTGGGTGACGGTGAAACAGCAGGGGACAGTGTTAGTGAAGGTTAATCACATATCACATTATCCATTCTGAGAACCCTACAGTCACTCAGCTCAAATGGTCTGTCTCAATTTTTCAATCCTGACTCAAATGTTCTTAAACATTGTGAAAAGCAACACAAATGCTCCCGGTTTGAAACATCTACTCTGGGCATTCCCTGGAGCCTAAGGGCCTCGGAGTGCATGATGATAAAAAGAAAGTAGCCCAAGAAAACAGGAAGCTGGAAGGTTGCTTGAGTGGGTTTGAAATAAGGAAAATACACTTAGCCTGGCTATTTCTTCTTTGTCCAGAAAAGTGAAGGAAATGAAGGCATGAAGGGCTCTTATGGCTGACTTTTTTATAGGCACATATGGCTGATTCAAATATAGGTTAAATCTAAGATCCAGCTCTACCGGCCCACCGGGCATATTTCAGTAGCTACAGGTGCATGGTAACTACTACAGTAGCCACTCTTCACTTGTGGTTTTGCTCCCCATGTTTCCATTACCCATGATCAACTGCATTGGAAAACACAGTACAATAAAATACAGAGAAAGAGGAAAAGAGAGAGAATGGGAGAGAGAGAGTCCAGCTTTTATTTTACAGTAGTGTAACAGCTGCTCCTTTATTATCATTATTGTTGTACCTGGTTTATAACTTGGTCTTTATCATAGGTATGTCTTCATAGGCAGACTCATCATATGTATTTTATCAGGATCAGTACCACCTATAGCTTCAGGCATGTCTGCTGGGGGACCTCCTGTGAAAAAGGGTGGCGGCTTTATATAAGAGTACAGGCACAGGACAGTCCCACCAGTGCATGGATGAGTTCTGTTGAAAGCCAGACACTCAGAAGCCAGAATTGTTGGACACAGATTCAGCCTCAGATACTTTAGACTTTGCTCATCCTGTATTTTAAAATCATCAAATGTTTCGCAGAATCTGCTTTCTCTAAAAAGCAATGGAAAGTATATTTCTAGATTCACATTCTACTGTGAAAGCAGTCAGGAGTCCCATTTAAGTGGGATTCATTCTTATCAGTTTACTGTAGTTCTCACCAATAGAAGCACAGTGTCAACTCCTATGCTTACCCTCAGCTTCCAGTCTTCTCATCAGGGCAAGAACAGGGAAAACCTGCATCTGATGGATCCTGGAGTTGAGGAGGCAGGGTAGAGAGACTCCTGGAGATTAGAGTCCATTATCTGTGTGCCTGAGAGGAGAGAACTGGAGAGAAAATGTCCTGGAAAATTTTCCAGGATCCCTCACTAATAGGGTGCTGGTCAGCCGATGCGTGGGAGGAAGCCTGTGTCTGACCAAAGATCTACCCAATCAGAGAAGGAACAGAAGCCAGAGGGTTAAAAATGGTGCCCATTAATGTAAGTCAGGTGTCAGGGTCCCAGAGTCAGTCACCATGGAGAGTGCACAGGAAGGGCTGGACTCCGAAATGAAGAACGATCAGTCCTGGTGAATCAATCTTACAAACAAGTCAGAGACAATGCAGACTGTTTTCCCAAGCAACCTTACTACATCCTCAGACAAAACTTGAATGTGCAAAAGCATCCATGATCAAACAAAAGCACAGTGTGAAGTTTCTAATCAGTAGCAGGTAAGGAAATAAAAATGACCCACAGTGGGAAAAAAAAACATTTTAAAACTGACCCGTAACTGCTCCAGATAGCGGGATTTATCAAAAAGGAACACCGTAGCTGAGCTCCGTATGACCAAAGTCAAGCTGAGGCACAAAAAACACAAACAGATCAGCACAGAACTTCTAGAGGTGCAAGTGTCTGGATGAGGGGTAAACTGCTGTAGTTTCACCGGAAACTAGGTTTTGCACAATCAAGTCAGTGTCCTAGTTACTTCACTGCTGTCATCAGCGTTATAACCAACAGCAGTGTTGGGGAGGGAAGGGTGTATTTGACTGGTAGGTCACAGCCCATTATTCAGGGAAGCCAAGGAAAAAGCTCAAAGCAGGAACTGAAACAGAGACCTCTGAGGAACAAGAAATTACTTACCGGCTTGCTCCCAGGCTCACATTCAGCTACTGCTTTATACTTCCCAGACTCATCTTCACAGGGGTACCACCATCCATGGTGCGCTGGACCCTTCCCCACCAATCAGCAATCAAGAAAATGCCCCACCCCACGATCTTGACTACAAGGCAATTTCCTGGAGACAGTTCCCTCTTTTCTGGTATCTCTAGTTTGTGTCAAGTTGACAACTAACCAACCGAGTTATCAAATATGAACACAGAACAAGAGAAACTACCCAAAGTCAAATGGAAGAGAAAGTACCACGAAGCAGATCATCAGGGAGCTGGGCTACGGCTGGGGGTAGAGTGCTTGCTTAGCACTCATGAGGCTCTGGGTTTGCTCGCCAGTGCTGGTAGCAGGCAGAGCAGAGCCCAGCTACTGCAGGGCCACTTCAACTAGCTGAACACGCAGAATTACAGTCCTCAAAAGATGTGCCTGCCGAGAGGAGAGACAGAAATCAACAACACAAGGACACGGCAGCTGAGAAACTCCCAAGTTAGATAAAAATTCTCAAGATCACAGATTTGAGAGGCATCACAAACCCTAAGTTCAAGAAACAGACGGACCGCTGCTCTGTGATGTGTTGTTATCAAATTTTCCAAAAAAAAACTACTGTCTGTAGATAAACAGTGAAGGGAAAAATCACCCACATAGTCAGAGAAGAGAAAGTGCATGGCACCCTAAGGAGTGACTATGAAGATCGGGAAGGGGGATTCTGTCAGGAACAATACCACCAAGGAGACTCCTTAAGCCCCCAGAAGGGAAACAGTTTCAAGACCAAAAAAAAAAAAAAAAAAAAAAAAAAAAAAAGAAAGAAAGAAAGAAAGAAAGGAAGGAAGGAAGGAAGGAAGGAAACAAGGAAAGAAGGAAGAAAGAAAGAAAGAAAGAAAGAAAGAAAGAAATGAAGGCAAAAACCTTTAACTACATTGCTGTGGTTTAGTCTTCATGATACTTACAGCTACTGAACAAATAATCAAAGTAATAACATTTTAATAACTAATTTTGAGATTCCTGAGAAAGTTAGAGGCCTCAAAATATGTTTGTGTCTTTGGTCAAAAGCAAGCATGCTAGAAGGATGCGGGGGCAGAGCATGAGAGCTGAGCCCTCTGTTATGTTGTGCTCTGATGTGGTGTTTGCTGCAGTTTCTCTTTGTTTAGAACTGTGCCTGACACACAGTAGGCACTCGATAATGTGTTTTTCAACAGCTGACAAGTGTAGGTAAAATAGGACTTTTCTGGACATATAAAGTCTGAAAAAACTCATTGCAAATGCCGAGTCACACAACAACTGTTAGAGAAAGTATCCCAGGGGGAAGGAAATGCATCTGCTGCTAATGTGAATCTTCATGGGAGAATACAGTGTCAGAAACGGTGGCCATGTGCTTGTGACTATGCATTTAACCCTTTGAAGATATCTGAGTTCCATCTCCCAGTTTCCATGCCAATTACTACTATGTGAACACCTCATTCTTTTGGTGAACGCTGTTAGGTGCCTATAATTTCTCAAGACTTGTCAGTGTGGAACTACAAAGGTAAAGGACAGATCCTTCACACACAGTATGCTTACATTCTAACTGGAAGAGCAGGTAATATCCCATTCACAGTCAGACATAGTGGCACATGCCTAAAATCCCAGCACTTGGAAGGAAGCAGAAGCAGAAGGATTGAGATTTCAAGGCCAGCCTCAGCAACACAAAATGAGGTAGATGTTAGCCTGGTCTGTATGAAACCAACCCTGTGGCCAAAAAAGAAAAAAAAATGACGGAGTGAGAGGGAGGTCAGGAGAAAGATGTATACTGTAAAACTACAGGGGGATAGGATATTCATTGGTACTGCTACTTTGTCAAAGTGTCTGGGGCATGTGCATCAGGGCAGAGGAAAACAAATGGCTAACATGGCTTGTTGGCATGTGCAGCTCACAATTTATAAAGGTCCCGTGAGAATCTGTAAGGAAGAGTTGTCGAAG